AGTTGAGCATGTGTCCTTGTGGTAAGATTGAGCATTCCTTGGGTATATGCCCAAGAGTGGTATAGCTGGGTCTTGAGGAAGACTTATTCCCAATTTTCTGAGAAACTGCCATACTGATTTCCAAAGTGGCTATACAAGTTTGCATTTCCACCAACAGTGTAGGAGTGTTCCCCTTGCTCCACATCCTCTCCAACATAACCTGTCTTCAGTGTTTTTGATCTTAGCCATTCTGACAGGTGTAAGATGGTATCTCAGAGTTGTTTTGATTTGCGTTTCCCTAATGACTAAGGATGTTGAGCAATTCCTTAAATGCCTTTCAGCCATTTGAGATTTTTCTGCTGAGAATTCTCTGTTTAGCTCTGTAGCCCATTTTTTAATTGGATTGTTCAGTATTTTGAAGTCTAGCTTTTTGAGTTCTTTATATATTTTGGAGATCAACCCTCTGTCAGATGTGGGGTTGGTGAAGATCTTTTCCCATTCTGTAGGCTGTCATTTTGTCTTATTGAATGTGTCCTTTGCTCTACAAAAGCTTCTCAGTTTCAGGTGGCCCAGTTTATTAATTGTTGCTCTCAGTGTCTGAGAGCTACTGGTGTTATAGTTAGGAAGTGGTCTCCTGTGCCGATGCATTCCTAATTTCTCTTCTATCAAGTTCAGTGTAACTGGATTTATGTTGAGGTCTTTGATCACTTGGACTTGAGTTTTTACTTTCCTCCATTTCTTTAAGGGACTTTTGCATTTCCTCTTTAAAGACCTTTATCATCTTCATAAAGTTGTTTTTAAGGCTGTTTTCTTCTGCTTCTTCTACATTGTGATATTCAGGTCTTACTGTTGTATAACTGGTAGGTTCTGGAGGTGTCATATTGCTCTTTATGTTGTTGTATATATTCTTGCACTGGCATCTACCCATCTCTTCCTCCAATCAGTGCAGGAGGTGTCTGTGCCTGAGGGAACTGCTCTTGGTCCAATCTGTGCTGGCTGTGTCTGTGTCTCAGGGGTCAATCTTGATCCAATCAGAGCTCTTGGTCCAATCAGAGCTGGCAGATTTTATGTCTCAGGATGCTGCTGAGGTCAAAGGAGGAATGGGTGGGTTTGGAGGAGGAAGTGGGTTTTGTAGATTGCAGTGTCTGATGGGCAGTGTAGGTGGGGAGGCCTGCCCACAGGAGTCTTCCCTGCTGGCCTATAACTGAGGCAGTAATGGGTTGGGGGGCATGGGTTAGGCCCTAGGACCTAGGTCTTAGAGACAGAACTCTCTGGCTAGAAGAGTCACTTATGTCTTGATCCAATTAGAGCTGGAGGATTCTGTGTCTCAGGAAGCTCCTGAGGTTGCAGGGGGATGGGTGGGTTTGGGGGAGGGAGTGGGTATTGTAGATTGTGGGGTTTGATAGGGGGTGTTGGTGGGAAGGCCTGCCTGCAGGAGGCTTCCCTACTGGCTTGAAACTGGGGCAGTGATGCGTGGGGGGGGCATGGGTTGGGCCTTGTGGCCTAGGTCCTTGAGACCCACATCTTTCAATAATAACTGTAAATACTTATGGTCTCAATCCCCTCATTCAAATGACACAGAAGAACAGTTTGGATTAAAATGAATGATATATCTAGCCATTGTCTCCAATAAATGCACCATAAAGTACAGACAAAAGGATGTCAAAGCATATTTCAAGCAAGCAAACTACGAAGCAACAGAAATTGATGTTCTAACAGCTGACAAAGTTAACTTTACACCAAATCTAGTCAGAAGACATAAATAAACTTATTTCATACTGATTTGGGAAACAATCCATCAAGAGTACATTATAGCCGGGCGGTGGTGGCGCACGCCTTTAATCCCAGCACTCGGGAGGCAGAGCCAGGCGGATCTCTGTGAGTTCGAGGCCAGCCTGGACTAACAAGTGAGTCCCAGGAAAGGCGCAAAGCTACACAGAGAAACCCTGTCTCGAAAAACCAAAAAAAAAAAAAAAAAAGAGTACATTATAATCCTAAACATATACACACACAATATGAGCACCCTAATTTCATAACAAATATTCTGCTAGAGGTAAAAAAATAATCACAAATTAACCCAGCTTAAGGACAGTGGAAGACTCCAGAACTCTACTTTTATCAATAGACAGCTCATCTAGCCAAAAAATAAATAGAGAGTTCTTTATACATGCCAGACACTAATCCTCTATTGGATGGATACCTGGCACCGATTCTTTCCACTCAATGGGCTTCCTCTTCACTCAATTGATTATCCATTGCTGTGCAGAAGCTTTTTAGTTTTGTAAGATCTCATTTGTCAATGGTTGGTCTTAATTACTGAGCAAATGGAGTCCTCTTCAGAAACTCCTTTTCTGCAACTACACTTTGTAGGGCACTATGCCTACTGTCCTGCCTATGCTTTAATCTAGAAGTGTCAGCATTTAATGTTTCAGGTCAGTTTCACATAAGACCTTTGATCTGTTGGAGTTGAATTTTTACATGTTGTTAGATATGGTTCATTCTTCTATATGTGGACATCCAGTTTTCAAGCACCATTTGTTAAAGATGCCATTTTTCATTTTGTGAATATTTTTGGCATATTTGGCAAAAGTAGATGGCTGTAGATGACACTCATGAATGGGTTTTCTATTTTGTTCTATTGATCAATCTGTCTGGTTTTTGCCAATAACATACTCTTTTATTACTATAACTCTGTAATACAATGTAACTTGAAATCTGGTATATTAATCCCTCCAATCTTTTTCTTTTACTTAGAGTTCCTTTGCAATCTGGGGTTTTTTGTGGTTCCATATGAATCTTAAGATGGCTTATTCTGTTTCGTGAAGAGTGTCATGGAGATTTTTGCTTGGGATTGCATTGAATCTGTAACTTGCTTTTGGTAGGATGATCATTTTTACAATATTAATTCTACCAATCCATGAGTGTGAGAGGTCTATCTCCTAGTGTTTTCCTCAATCTCTATCTTCAGAAACTTAAAGTTTTCATTGTAAAGATTTTTCACATTCTTGGTTGGATTTATTCCTAGATATTTTTTGAGACTGTTGTGAATGGGAGTGTTTCTATGATTTCTTTCTCAGTATGATTTTTATAAGTATATAAAAAAGAACTATAATAATAAAAAACAGTGTTATACTGACACAAAAACAGACAGGAAGATCCAGGGAACAGACTAGATGACTTAGACATGAACCCATGTATCTGCAGCTACTTTGTCTTCAAGATGCAGGCATAGGAAATGACTTATCAATAGGAAAACAATTGCTCAGGAAGGAAGGCCAATTATCAAGAAAGAGAACCTCCTGCAATTAGAATGCTGGTATATAGCAAAAGAAACTGTTAATCAAATAAAAAGGCCACCTACAGAGAGGGAGAAAATCTTTGTCAAATGATATAACTGTAAAATGTAAATTTGATAAAGGATAAATTTCTAGGAAATACAAAGAACTTTAAAAAAACTAAACAAGGAAACATTTTTTTAATGGGCTGGGGAGCTTAAACTAGAATTCTTCAAGGAGAAAATACAAAAGGACAACAAATAATTGTGTAGGTGTTCAACATCGGGAGCAATCAGAAACAGGAAAGTTAAATCATGCTAAGATTCCATCTTACTCTTGCAAGAATGACTATCAACAAAAATCTTTTTTTTCAATAACAAATACCCAAGAGGGTGTGAAAGATCAAGAATACTCACTGCCAGTAGGAGTCGAAACTGGTGCAGCCATGAAAGAAATCAGTGTGAAGGTTTCCCTGTAAGTTTAAAACAAAATTTCCAAATGACCCAGATACACCACTCCTGGGCATCTACCCAAAAGACTCCATATATGCCTACAGAGGTACCTGCACCTCCAAGTAATAACTGCTCTATTCATAGCATCACAGAAATGGCATCAGGCAAGATGCCTATAAATAAATGAATGGATAATGAAAGTGTGGTACACATCACAATGGAATGTTTTTATTACCTTATTTCTTTATTGTGTGTCTGGGGGCGGGATACCTGCCATAGCACACATATAGAGGTCAGAAGACATTTGAAGGAGTTGGTTTTCTTCTTCCACCATGTGGGTCCATGGAATCAAACTCAGGTTATTATGCTTGGTGGCAAGTGCCTTTACCCTTTAAGCCATCTCACCAGCCTTACATGATGGACTTTTATTCACACATCAAGGAAAATAGAATGGTAAAAAAATTGAATGGTTATAAGTGGAAAATATAATATTAAGTGAGTTAAACCAGGATCCAAAAGACAAAAACCATGTTCTCTTTCCTATATGGCATATATACATATACATATACGTGTGTGTGTGTGTGTGTGTGTGTGTGTGTGTGTGTGTGTGTGTGTGTATAACATGTATGTACATGGGAGAATGAGGGAGGGTAGACGATTTAAAATTCTTAAAAAGAAGCACAGGAGAGGGGAAAGGAGGACTTTCAGGAGAAATTTACCCCAAAATTAAATCTCAATAATTATATCTCTGATTTATCAAAAACTCAAAAAGTCATGGCTAAATTAATATCTATTATGAGAAGCCTTAAATTCTTGATTATGCTATGTTAGAATTTCTGTTTAAATTACATTCAGGGGTAGTTCTCTTCTGGCATTATTGAAAATGTGGTATTCTGTTTCTGCACAATTCTCACATTTAACTATATACATTGAGTTTTATTTTTATTTTGATCTTAGTATCTTTAATCTTTTATTAGTTGCTTTTGCAAAAATGGAAATCTCCTAACAAAAGGATTACACAAAAGTCCCAGACATATTTCCTCACTTCGATGTTTATGTCACCTGAATGGCAGTAGCAGATGGTATTGTAAGATATAACACTGAATGATTAACATTAGAAGCAATACACTGGGTTTTCTTTACTATAACACTACCAGTTCTTTGCTTTCCACTTCTTCCTGCTCTCTTAGACTCTGCATGATATAAGCATATCCTCCCAGAACAAAACAAAACTCAGTAAACTCCACAGCACAGAAAATTTTTATTTCATTACACTCAGAGATCAAGGTAACTATCATATGTTCTTTATGTAACTAGCGACAGTGTTTACTATTTTCTTGGAGCAGGGGAAAGATAAAAACTTCCAATCAAACAATGTTAGGCATCCGTGAAAGCCATCCTCCACATGGTACCAGGTCACAGGGACTCCCTGGTCTTCAAAGCGCTTTTTGTAGAGCAAGGCATCATCCCGGAGGATGTCATTTTCACAGCTCACAATGAATACCTCAGGAAGTTGAGCAATGGTCTTATCATCTGCTAAGATAGGTGAAATTCCTATATCGAAAATGTGTTTTGTTTCTAGATAGGCAGCCTCATTAAAACATCCAAGAAACTCAGGTTGTGGGTCTTGACTCCAGAACCTTCTGGGGATGTTGTCAGAGCTGAGCCATTTCCTGTACTTCTTCCATTTGTCCAGAGGTACAATGGCACCTGTCGATATGGCATCTTTCCAAGAGAGGTCAATGGCCAGGTATTTACACAAAGCCATAATCATCATGTCTCTAGTAAGAAAAGGGACGTTTTTATTCTGCTGATGAGATGGTAAGCATAAATTAATGGCCTGGATTATTGGAGTAATCAGGACTTGAGCCCGGACCTGGGGGAGACTAGGGCTACTGACCAAGACCTGGATGACAGTGGCCACAGCCCAAGCTCCAATACTCTCTCCACAGAGTACCACCCGAGAGGGGTCCACCCCGTAGGTTTCCAGGTTCTTCAGGAACTGGATGGTGGCATTCAGGCAATCCTTGAAAATGACAGGGTGATGGTAGTCAGGAAGCTTTCGGTACCTAAGGAGAAAAGGGCAAGCACAGCAAGCCTATTTACAAAGGAGGAGCTAGAGGCCATTTCATTCACCATCTTCTACTCTCAAAGGGACCAAGCCTGACTCAATCCTCAGAGTGTTCCTAATAAGCAAGCACAGCAAACCCTCATTTTTCTTACATGGACTTAAGGAACATACCCAGAGTCATGGAGGCCAGGATTCTCCATTCCCACCCACACCATGTTTCTCACTGACCTACGGATCATCAGTGAACCATACAGAGGATAACGCAAGTTCAAAGATGTTGCCTTTAGAAGCAATTAACCACCAAAGACACAGAAAAGTCATTTGGAACTACTGCTACTTCTACTGGCATAGCTTTGGGGGACACCTCTCCTGATGTACTGAGCATATGTTGATCACTGTTAAAACTATAGTTCAAATTGATATTGATGCTAATACTAAGGTCTGTTCATAAACATTCCTTCCGCTGTTTATTTTCCTGCAGTTAAGTTTAAAGTATGATAGTGGGGGTAGTTTTACTTCTTACTTAAGAGGTCTTAGATTCTTCCTGGTTGCCTTGGTTACCATGAAGAAGTGACTAATAGTCAAACAGTCAGCTGAACCGCTCTGTGCCTATACTGGGCACTTTGAACATCACACACACACCACACACACAACAACTGCAGACACTTGCCACTAACTCACAACGCTAGCTCTTGCGGTTGTAACCCAGCCAGCACTGTTTCAAACATCTTGCATCAGACTTTCTCTGCCACTTTTCATCAAAGCCAAAGGAGAGGCCCTGACCTTAATAGCCCAAAGGAGGGACCCTTTGGACTGGTAAAAGAGGAACAATGTAATGAGTCTTGTGAATATAATTATTCATTTTCATGAAGGTTTGCTAAGACTGGAACATATATACTTTTTTAAAAACTATATATGAGAGTTGAATGAGAAATGTCATATGGACTCACATATTGAAACACTTGGTCTCAGTTGGTGGTGTTGTTTGGGAAGATTATAACTGTTAGGAGATGTGACCTTGCTAAAGGAAGTATGTTATTGGAGGCTGGCTTTAAGAGTCTATAGCTTCACCCTGCTTCCTGGTTTTGCTTTCTCTCTTTTCCATTTACAGTTGAGATGCATTCTGCCAGCTTCCTGCTACCATATCTCCCTCTCCTGCCCTTATAGACTCTGACCCTTAGGAAGCATAAACCAAAATAAATGCTCTCTTCCTTAAATTGTTTGTGGTCAGAGAGTTTCTATTAAAGCAACAGAAAAGTAATTAATGTGGAGCTGGTACCAAGAGTTAGGGTTGTTGCTGTGAAAATTCCAACTACATTGTTTTTTGAGGAAACCTTTAGAATTTTGGACTTTAAAAGTCATTGTGTGAATGACTGACCTAATTTGAGGCCCAAGCCATGAGAAGGGGCCCATGCCTGACACTGCCTGGAACTAGAAGGTGGATGGCTCAGAGACCTAGGGTAGAACCAAACATGACTAGCAAAAAACATCAATGAAATTATTCCTAATGATACTCTGCTATACTCATAGATCAGAGCCTAGCCCAATCATCATCAGAGAGGCTTCCTCCAGCAGCTGATGGGAGAAGTTGCAGAGACCCACAGTCAAACATTAGGCAGAACTCAGGAACCCACAGAGAGGGGGAGGAAGGATTGTAAGAGCCAGGGGTCTTGAAGACACCAAGAAAACACAGCTCACGGAATCAACAAAGTGAGCTCACAGGGGCTCACAGAGACTGAAGCTGCAATCATGGAGCCTGCGTGGATCTGTACTAGGTCCTCTGCATACATGCTGTGGTTGTTTAACTTGGGGGTTTTGTGGGACTGTATGACTAAGTGATTCTCCAGATGGACGTGGTGCTCTCTAATCTCATATTCACTTTGCTACATCTCATTCATGTACTCCAAAGTCAGGGGCATCTTTCCAGGCTTCTGTTGTTTTGAACATGGTGTGTCCATGTATGTGGGACCATGTACAAGAGAATCAGCATCTCTGGGCTCCTTTTGGTAATCTCTAGTTAGATCTCTAGTTTGTTAAACAAACAAGCAAGCAAACAAACAAACAAAACCAAAAAAAAAACCCTACACTACAAATGCTGCCTCGTATGGAAAAGTCATCAACTGTCTCAGGACTCTCAGGCCACTCACCCAACTGATAGCAACACTGAGTCTGTCTCCCGGGCCAGGAAATTGCACAGGCTATGGTACATGTCTGCAAGAGAAGGTCCAGAGTTGAACACATGTGATGAGAAGACAGCACTTTCCACCACAGCTCTAAGAACAGAAGCTATCATAGTGGACGTGGCTGACATTCCCTCTCTGAAGTCCAGAGAATTCCAAGTGCTTCAGTCTATCAAGAGCAAGGAAAGGCAAAGATGACCAAATGGGAGAGACATTAAGGTGCAGGGGAAAGGCTGAAGTGTAGCAGTGATGGGTTCTCAAGTGTGTTTTTAAGGACCCTTCTCTGAGGGAGAGAAAACTAAATGGAAAGATGGAGAGTGGAGCCAGTCCACCACTTCAGGGAAGCAGGGTTGGAAACGAGTAGGTTTTCACAATAGTGATCCAGTTGAGCTTGGGATGCATGTGAATATGTGGCCATTGTGAAAAGATAGGAATAACCAGTGCTGTAAGTGGGAAAGAGAGGGAGTCACATTCAGTGCCAGAATATCCCCACTCAGACATTGCTGTCCCAACCTGGACATAGACTAATATAGAAAATATTGCCATGGGAACAACCCCACTGGCTGATGTGAGCCCCAATATTTGCATCTACATTCTCTAACAGAAGTTCTAACTTCCACTTCTTTTGACTTTCCCCAAGAGGTCCTCATGGGAATGTGTGCAAGACTCTACCCATCATGGGGACCTTCCCCTCTCATCCCACTTGGAAGCTACTTACCAAGGCTACCAAAGATGGCACCCCCTCCATGGTAGAAGATGATGCCTCTCCGAGGTTTGGAGGACACCGCTTTGGGCTGGAACAGTCTCACAGGGATTGACCCAAAATGCATATTGGTTACCACCAAGGCAGGGTCATTCTTTACGACCCCTACATCACAAATAAACTGAATGAAGTGAAGTGAAGCACAAATTCTCAGTTTCTCTAGTATATTCCCCTGTTGGAGGAAAGGGAATGAGAATGAGAAGGTGAGGGTAGGGGATTATAGGATAGAAAGGTAGATGATGCAGCCACTTAGCAGTGTTTAGACATATTCACCATTTCTCACTTGCCTCATACATGTGCAGCGGTCTCATGGCCATACAACTGGCTTTGTACTCTTTCATATGAGGAAGGCAGTTCATGCTTTTTTTTCTAAAAGGCCCTCACTGGATGATGATGTTGCTGGGACCCAAGTATTTCTTTCCTTTTAAACTCATGTGGAAATGTCCTTGACATTTTCAGTGTTAAAAGATGAACCATTTAAGTGGTGATGGCATGGCATCCCCATGTGTGGATTAAGTCCACGATGGAGGGAAAGGAATCATTACCTCTCACATAGTCTCCTGAGGAGTGAGTTTGGCTGGTATTTTCTGTCTTATGAACATAGACACACTTGTCTTTCTGCTGAGGGATGATGCAAAGAAGGCCCATTGATGACACCTTGTTTTTGGGTTTCCAAACAACCCCTATAAGACAAACTACCTTCTGTTGTCTGTAAATCACCTGACCCATGGTACTGTTAGAGCATCAGAAAACAAATAAGACTTTGCCTGAAGGAAAACCAGTTTAGGGCTGAGTGGCAAACAGTCATTCAGAGGGACAAAGCTGAGTAGTGTCCCAGACAATAACACTAACCTCTGTGTCCCAGTTAGCTGTCAACTGACACATCCAAGAGTTGCCTGAGAATAGATTCACCTGATACATTGCAAGATCAGATTGTCCTGAGGAGATAACTGTGTGGGATTGTCTTGATTGTTAATTGATGTAGGATGGTTCAGTCCACTATAGGTATCGTCATTCCCTGGCCAGATGGTCGTGGCTATATTAGAAAGCTAGATAAGCGTGAGCTTTTGCACAAGCCATCAAGCAGTGTTTCTCCATGGTTTCTACTTCAAATTCCTGTTTGAGTTCTTCACCTGACTTCAATGATCAACAGTGACCTGAAATAAATCCTTTCCTCCCCTAAATAATTTATGGTCAGAGGGTTTCATCATAGCAACAGAAAGGAAACCAGAACATTGACTGTCTTTTGCTCTCTGAATGACTGTACCCAACCTGAGATGCTAAAGACAGTTTTCCAGCAGTGTCAAAACTCAATGTAACCCACAGTTTTGGGTTATAGAGGACCCTTAGCCTGTGTATGTCATTAGGAGAAAGAAGTAACATGATAAATTAGGGATGTGATATGGGATCCACAGCACGGATGAAAGGCCCCTACACATTGCCCAAATGTTTTTTTCTTGTCTGTTTTCATTTATTTATTGGGGGAGAGGGGTAATGCTCATGTAAAGCTGTCAGAGGACAGTTTAAAGTCAGTCCTCTCCTTCCACCATGTGGGTCTCTGTAACTGATTTTTTTCTGTGTCCCACCTGGGCCATGGTCAGGACAAATCTCTCTCACCTGCTGGTCCTGTAGTGACTCAGACCCAAATAAACATATGCAGGCTAATGTTATTTAAAACTGTTCGGCCATTAGCTCAGGCTAACTATTGACTGGCTCTTACACTTAAATTAACCCATAATTTTTATTTATGTTTAGCCACGTGGCTTGGTGGCTTTTTGCAGTTTTGCCTTTACATCTTGTTTCCTCTGTGTCTGGCTGGTGACTCCTGACTCAGCCTTCCTGTTCCCAGAATTCTCTTCTCTGTTTGTCCTGCCTATACTTCCTGCCTGGCTACTAGCCAATCAGCATTTTATTTCTTAACCAATCAGAGCAACACATTCACAGCATACAGAGCGATATCCCCAGCAGGTCTCAGGAATTAAACTCAGTTCATCAGGTTTCATGGCAAGAGCTTTTGCCCAATGAGCTAATTCATTGGCCATTCCAATATGATTTTAAGCTAATATGTTTATTCTAATATTTGCTATTATAAACTGTAGCCATATTTCAGGAAACATTGCAGGGTCTCACAGTGTATGTGCTAAATGCATCACAGTCACTGGCTTGTATCCTCTAAGGACTTCATGCTCAGGATATTTCTTTGTCATATGGAAAACAGCATGGTGAGCTAACAACAAAGGTTATAGCATCTAACACTTACCAGCTACCTATAATGTGTCAGTACCAGCCTAGGTAGTTTCAATTAGCAACTTGCTTGACTCTTCTAAGTCACAAGAATTTGCTCTGTGACAGAATGGGAAACTAAGGCATGTCAATGTTTAAATGTCATGTTCAGAGTTGTTCAATATGATGTAACTGATGAACTGGAAAGAGTTTGGGGTTGAAATAAAACAGGCATGATTTCAAGTCTGATACCTACTGCCAGCTACCTGGAAAACACCAGGCATTGTCATAGAGCTCCAACCTCCCTTGTTTGCAAATGAGAAACTGATGTTCATGGATGTGACCTAAGGAGGAGGTAGGGAATCAGTAGACCTTGTAGAAGGTCTTACTGATAAGTCCCAGAGGACAAGCCCTAGCTTCTGGCTGAATGAATTTGTTTTAGTCCAGAGTCCAGCAGGGTGCCCCAAAGTATTTCCTTCATGGGCAGACTTCCCAATAGGGGACTCAAATGGTTGTTTTCCTACTGGAATTGGAAGACAATGAGTCAGCCTACAACACAAAGGTGACCTAGTTCCCAAACCCATGCTCTCAGCTAATTCCACCAGGACCAGCAGCAGCTCAGCTCTGAATACCTTAACATTAATTTGCTTCTCCCTGGCCCAGGTTAGCTCCATCTCTGCATGTGTTCCCCATATCCTGTGTCTCATCTATCCACCTATCTTTCCCTGAGAGACTCTTTTACATGGCCCAGGCAGATGGCTTCAAATGACTTAAGTATCCAAGTTTGGGGATCATATTCTTGAAAAAGCCACCCTTTCTTGTAGGAATAACTGCTTCTCCCTCTGAGGCCTTCACTGTACTATCAGACTTCCATAGGAATCACCTGAAACTTTATTATAAGTATATGAACATCTGCACATCTCCCTTCCACCAAACCAGAGGTCTCTGGTGGGAATGATTACATCCCAGTTGTTGTGGAATATTATTTTAAGATGTGTTACACTTGTTTATGCTGTGGAGTATTTGGCCTAATAAAAAGCTGAACCGCCAATAGCAAGGCAGGAGAAAGAACAGGAGGGGCTGGCAGGCAGAAAGAATAAATAGAAGGAGTTAAAGAATGAGACAAGAAAGAGCAAAAGAGATCTAGCACCAAGAAAATAAAGGGGCCAGCCACCCAACCACACAGCCTGCCATGGAGTAAGAGTGAAAGTAAGACTACAGAAGTAAGGAAAGGAAAAAGCCCAGAAGCAAAAGGTAGATGGAATAATTTAAAGTTAAGAAAAATTGGCAAGAAACAAGCCTCTGTGTGTGATTAATTTGGGAGCTGGATGGTGGGCTCCCCAAAAGAGCAAAACAACCAACAACACCAGTGGATTCTTAGTCTCTGCCTCTAGAATAATAAAACCTTATTCAGGAAGTTTGTGTAGTGTCACAGTATAGCTTTCTAAACTTCATGTTCTCCAAAGCTATGACATAGGTCATAAATGTATATTGTTTTGTTTTTAATGGACATCTTCCATGGCTTGGAACTAGGGCAGGGATGGAGTACCAAGTAAGATTATAAATATCAATATAACTGTGTCATTATTGAATTACAAATACACAGTATCTCAGGAGATACTGAAACATTCTTAGAAAATGGTCTTTAAAACCAATCTTGTTTCTTACCTCTCTCTCTCTCTCTCTCTCTCTCTCTCTCTCTCTCTCTCTCTCTCTCTCGTGTGTGTGTGTGTGTGTGTGTGTGTGTGTGTGTGTAGATATATGCATATATTATGTATATGTTAGTGATGGATGAAAGCCTACTGTGTCACACATGCTGGACAAAGGCTCCAGCTCTGAACTGCATCATCCAATGCTTTACATCTTGTAGTAGGGCTGGATCCATTCACAGCAACCTTCAAATCAATGACAACTTTGGGGAATGCTGACTCTGTCTCTAGGGACTTGTAAGACACTAGTAGTGGTGTTTGACAGAGTCCTTCACATCCAGCTTTGTGCAGCTTGATTTCAATGCTTTGTTTATTTACTCATCTTCTGACTACACAGTGCTCCTAGAAACACCTCCTCCCTTCTTTCTTTCTGTTTTTGTCTCTTTGATACAGGATCTCATGTGGCCCAGGCTATTCTCATACTCATTACATAGCTATGGCTGACCTTAACTCATTATCTTCTCTTTTCTGCACACAAGCACTGGGGTCACAAGCCTGCACCATGCCTGGTCTAAAAAGTCTCCATTGTGCACTTCATTTTCCAGAAACAAGAAAAAGGTAAAAAAAAAATGGAGACTACAAAGCTAATTTTTCTTGCATCTGGCACTCAAACTCATGTTTTTCTGAGAGCAAGAGTAGGCTCTGATTTGAGAACTGTAGAATTTTTCCAGATGTCTTTCTTCTCCTTAAACCTCTTATTTCTTCCTCATCTACATCTTCAGTACATTAACACACCTGGATTTCTTCTTGTGCACCTCCCTCTTGGACAGCATGTATGGTGATATTTTAATTGTACTGAAATGTGATTTTATTTGTATGTTAATAAATAAAGTTGCCTGGGGGTCAGAGCTAATAGCAAGCCATAGCAGAAGCTGGGCGGGGTGGTGCATGCCTTTAATCCCAGCTCTTGGGAGGCAGAGCTAGGCGGATCCCTTGTGTGTTCAAGGATACAGCCAGCATGGAGACACACACCTTTAATCTCAACACCAACCATAGAAGACCTGGAGGTCTGTACACACAGGCAGTGATGAGGAGGTTGCTGTGGGATGATCTGTATGTCAAATGTGTTGCTCTGATTGGTCAATAAATAAAACACTGATTGGCCAGTAGTCAGGCAGGAAGTATAGATGGGTCTAACAGAGAGGAGAATTGAGAGAACAGGAAGGTGGAGGGAGACACTGCCAGCTGCCGCCATGACAAGCAGCATGTGAAGATGCTGGTAAGCCACGAGTCATGTGGCAAGGTATAGATTTACAGAAATGGATTAATTTAAGATGTCAGAACTAGATAGCTAGAAGCCTGAGCCATTAGGCCAAACAGTTTAAATAATATAAGCGTCTGTGTGTTTATTTTATAAGTGGGCTGTCAGACTGTTGGGGCTTGGCAGGACCTGGATAGAAAACTCTCCAGCTACAGGAGGTCATATGGTTGGGTTTACAACCAATGAGAAGGCAGAACAGAAAGTCTATAAAAAAGACAAACAGACAGGAAGTAGCTCTCTTGCTGAAGAGGACTGCAGCAGCAGTGAAGGGTAAGGCTCTTAGCTCTGACCTCTTGGGCTTTCATCTCTGCATTGGCTCTGTGTTTCTTATTTAACAAGACCATTCTTCTACAAGCATTCCCCAGGGGCTTTGGGCTGAATAGAAGAGGCAGGGTCCTCCTATGTGGAGCACATCCTGCAGAACCAATCCTAGATCATCATTGCATCTTCTGTGAAAATCTTTTTCAGCTGTCAACTGTGAATGTTTAGCTTAGGGGTTATTTTTGGTTTTTTATTTAAATTTTGGAGAATTTTATACATGAGTACTGTATTTATATCATTTATATCATTTCTGCCCCCCTCTCTCTACTCCATTCCCTGTTCCTCATCACTCTCTTTCAAATCCGTGACCTCTTCTTATTATTGTAATACACACACACACACACACACACACACACACACACACACACACACGGCACATGCATATATAAACCCTACTGGGTCCATTTAGTATTGCTGTTATGAACATGTGTTAGGGCTTACCACTTGGGAATAGATTACTTATCACAGAGCTTGCCCTGGAGAAAACTTATTCTCCCTGTCTATGAAGCCACTGATTACCTGTGGTGATATACTGTGTATCAAATAAAGCTTGCCTGAGGATCAGAGGACAGAGCCAGCCACTAGATTAAACATAGAGGCTAGGCAGTGGTGGCACACACCTTTAATCTTAGCACTCAGGAGATAGAGATCCATCTGGATCTCTGTGAGTTCAAAGCCACCCTAGACTACATGGATTCTGTCTAGGAGAGAAACAGAGCCAGGCAGTGGTGGCATACACCTTTACTTGGAAGTCATATGCTTTTAATCCCAACACTTGAGATCTCATGCCTTTGCTGCCAGTGTTTGAGAAGCACACACACCATTAATCCCAGCACTAGGAAGAAAGTGAAATGGCTGGGTGGAGAAAGGCATATAAGGCATGAGGAGACAGGAACTAGAATCCTTTTCAGTGGAGGACTCAGAGGCTTTCAGTCAGAAGATTTGTGGAGATAGGATCTCACCTTCGATTTGGCCTGAAGATTCAGTATTGGTGAGAAGTTTCTCCAGTGACTTGTTCCTTTGTCTCTCTGATCTTTCAGCATTTACCCCAATATCTGGCTCCAGGTTTCTTTTTATTATAAGACAATTTAATATTCAAGCAACAATTACCTGTAGCTCTTCATCTAAGGTTGAGGCCTTGTGAAATTTCCCTCATCCACATTGGCATGGCAACTAGTATTGTCACTATGCAGGTCTTTTTTAGGGAGTCATATCTCAGCCATAGCTGAGATTTCATGGGTGCAGCTTCCCCATTGTGTCTAGAAGACACTATCTTGCAACAAGCAACCTGTCCTCTGGCTCTTACAATATCATCAAAATTCAGAGAATTGGGGCCTATTGTTAAAGAGAAACACTAATGGTTAGAAAGATCCAGGTGTCTGGGGGTATTTGGAGGTCCAAGGTCCTCATTTGCGGTGCTGGGACTCTAGCCTGCTGTGGGATAATGCCCTTGTACATTGGTTTAATAAAATGCTGATTGGCCAGTAGCCAGGCAGGAAGTATAGGTGGGGCCAGCAGAAGAGGAGAATGCTGGGAAAAGGACAGCAGAGTCAGGAGTCACCAGCGAGACACAGAGGAAGCAAGATGTGAAGGCAGAACTGAGAAAAGGTACCAAGCCACATGGCTAAATATAGATAAGAATTATGGGTTAATTTAAGTGTAAGAGCTAGTCAGTAATAAGCCTAAGCTAATGGCCATACAGTTCATAATTAATATAAGCCTCTGTGTGTTTACTTGGGTCTGAGAGACTACGGGTCTGGTGGGTGAGAGATTTGTCCTGACCGCCAGCCAGGCAGGACACAGGAAAGCTTTAGCTATAGTAGCCTAGCCTGAAATTCTTAGTCTTGCTTATTTCTCCAATGCTCCATTTTTCCTCAAAAAAAAAAATCCCAACAGCACAGGAACATACATTTTTACCACTTACCAGAGCCTCTAAAGACATATGGCCTGAAATCTAATGCTTTCACCTACCTGATGAGAAAGATGCCATTGTCCCATGAGGATTCTGAGACACAGGTTAAACAAGAGGCCCTCCCAGCCCGTGAAAGCAGAGCAGAAATGCTCATCAGACAGTCTGGTGGAGTGCTTCTCACCCCTTTCCTCCCCACCTCTTCCCTCTTAACAGTCCCCTGGGCTAATAACCATTAACTGGCCACTATCAAGTAACCTCCCAATATAGGAGCATCAGGGCTTTTTCAAATTGCCTGATTCCCATATTCTTTTCATATGTGATACACTCATTGACAGGTGCTAACCCCTGACCCCAATCTCGAGCCCTAAACCTGGCACAGAGCTCAGCTGTCCAGGGCAGCCGGGCTGAAAGGCTGAGGGACTATCGCACGCATGATTTGGTCTGCAAACAATACCTGCCCTGTGCTCAGGACAGAGTTGAACAAGTTAATCTCAGGCCTCAGGATTTCTCACATTAATGCCAAAAGCACCTAGAGACAGGCACATGGGAAGAACAGAAGGAGGGAGTTGTGACTGACGGTTGTTGGTAGAACCTCTCAGACGATGAGCCCTTGGTGGGCAGCAGCTCCATATGAATTCATTTGCAACGCCCAGAAAAGAGCCCAGTAGACAAGTGTGGTGGCACAGCCTGTAATTCCAGCCCTTGGGAGGCAGAAGCAGTGGGCTCAAGGCCATGCTGGACTTATCTCAAAGGGAAAAGAAAAATGAGGAGGGAAAGAAAGGGGAAATGAGTGAGAAGAAATAAAGGAGGGGCGGGGAAGAAAGAGGAAACATAGGAGGTTCCTCAGATTCTGTCTAGTGGGAATCTAGGAAGAGGAGAGGGAAATGAAAAAAGAAAGAGTAAGATACAAACAGCATCCCCAATCCATGGTGCCCCCAAGAGCAAACTCACCAAGGCCATTATGAAGAGCATCAGACAATGCAAAAACCTGAACTTGATTGGATGCTGTAAGGAGGAAGGAACTTTTGCTGTGAGAATATGCTTAACCACAGCCCATATAAAGAGTCCCAGTAAGAACGTGGGCAGCCCCACTAGCAGCAGCAGCCACAGGACAGCCATGGTCCCGAGATCCTTAGGAGCTGCTGTCCTGATAAACTAACTTCAAAAGCTGTGAGAGAAACAGCTAACCTGGTCTTATACACTGCGTCTTCCAGGTCACTGCTTCAAGGATGCTTGTGAAGTGACCTGTAACCTGGATAGCCACATAAACAAGTCAAAGAGAACAGAGGAACTTATTTACTGAGGAACAAGAAAAACAGGAAATCACATCTGGTCCACCAAGGTAGATGTGAGAGGTAGATTTCCCATAGCATTGTGAGACTCTTATGTATCTCAGCAACAGAGGATACCAGGAAGAGGTCTGGTATGTCTTAATGTCCTAACCCTTCAACTGTATCACGTGAGAAGTGTCCTCTTCCACACCAGAGCCTATCTAGGATGGGCAACGCACATCTTATTCCCAACTCCTTGGTGTACTACCTTCCCACTATTCAATACTCCAACCTAGGATGCAGAGGTTTGCAGACAATTTTCTGGTTAAAAACCATCCACTTAGGATTGATGAGAAGGTTTAACAGGGAAAGGCACTTGAGGTGAAGGCTGACAACCTGAGTTCAGTCCCCTAGACTCATATGATGAAAAGAGAGACTCAAGTCCTGAAACTTGTCCTCTGACTTTCATACGTGCATTGCAGCATGCACACACATGCACGTGTAAATAAAAGTAATTTTAAAAAATTATCCAGGATGGTGAAGTGACTTCAGCAGGTAAGACGATAGTTACACAAGCCTATAAACCTGAGAGCAATCCCTGGTACCAAATAAAGAAGCCAAATACAGTGGCACGCATGTGAAAAACTGTCACTCCTATCATGAAATCAGAAGCAGAGAAAGTCATCCAGAAGCTCATGGGCCAACTCTCCTGGAGTACTCAGCATGGCAGAAACAAGAGAGACCCTGTCTCAACAAGACAACAAGACCCAATTCCTGAAAGTCATCTTCTGATGTCCACAAGCACACTGTGGCATCTACACGTCACACTCAGAGACACATCATAAACACACAATATAGTAACTGATTTTTAAAGAGAAAAACATAGAATCGGTCTATTTGATCCCTCAAGAAAAACACACCTAGCCATAGAAAATAAACAAATATCTTAGGGTGGTATGATGGAAAAATTATTCCAAGCAAATGGAACTAAGAAACAAGAAGGCTTCACTACCACTACACTATGACAAAATGTACTGGAACCCAAACTGGCCATAAGACATAATGGTCACTTCTTCCTGACTAAGAGAACAACTCATGAATAGGATATTACAATTCTAAACATACTCACTAAGCACAGCTACCCCCAACTTCATAAAACAAATATTACTAAATGTAAAGTTACATATTAACCCCAATATATAAACAGTGGGTAACTTCAATATTCCATCTCAACAATAGAAATGTCACCTTTCTCCCAAAAATTGGTATATATAATTTGACTGTGTGTGTTTTTATCAAGTTTTGTCATCAGAATAATACTAACTTCATAAAAAGAGTTCGGAAGTTGTAGTGTTTTGAATGAGAATGCACCCATCTGCAGGCTTGGGTATGTGAACACTTGGTCCCCAGTTGGTGGAACTCTTGAGGAGGTTTAGAAGGTACAGCCTTGTTGAAGGAGGTATGTCACTGGAAGCAAGCTTTGAGAGTTTAAAGACTTGCACCATTTCCAGTTTGCTCTTTCTACTTCCTGACTACAGTTCAAGATGTGGGCCCTCAGCATCCTGCCTCTGCCACCATGCCAGCTGCCTGCTGCCACTCCTCCCCACCATGACTGACCCTCTGGAACCATAAGTCTAGATAAATTCTTTCTTTAATAAGTTGCCTTGGTCATGTTGTTTCATCACAGCAACAGAGAAGTAACTAATAAGCTGTATTTTTTCCTTTCTTAGTTTATGAAGTAGTTTGAAAGGCGTTGATGTTAGTTCTCCTTTGACGGGTTGGTAGATTTGCACAGTGAATCCACCTGGGCCAGAACTGTTTCTATTGGGAAATATTTTTCTTTCTGCATCAGTCTCGATGCTTATCATAGATTTAAATTGTTTATCTTTTTTGTTTAATTTTGATAAATAATATGCCTATAGAATTCATCAATTTATCTTATCATTTCCAATTTAGTGGGATATGGTATTTTAAGGACAGCACTAATGATTTTCTGAATTTTTTAAAAATATCTGTCATGATGGCTCTCTTTTGGTTTTAAGCGTTATTGATTTCTGTTCTCTTTCCCTGGATTAGTTTGATAAGGGTTAATCAACCCTATTTATCTTTACAAAAGAAAATCCACATTTTGTTTTATTGATTTTTTTGTATTTTATTTGTTGCTATTTCATTAATTTCTCTTCTGGTCTTAATACTTTTATTTTTATCTACTAAATTTGGGGTTGCTCTACTCTGGTTTGTCGAGAGCCTTAAGGCAGAGCACAAAATTATCTATTTGGAATTTCTTTGACTTTTAATGTAGGCACTTAGTGCTATAATTTCCTTTTTTTGAATGCTTTGAACGTATTCCTTGGTTTGATATACTGTATTTTCATTTTTATTTATTTCCAGGAATTTTTTGATTTCCTTTTTGATTTTGTCATTTATTCATTCAATATTCAATGACATGCAATTTGATCTCATGAACATGTAAATGTTCTATAGTTCTTCTCAGTGTTGAGCTGTAATTTTACTCCATTATAATCAGATAGAACACAAAGAATTACTTCAATTTTCCCATATTTGTTAATACTTGCTTTGTGTTCTAGTATATGGTCTGATTTTTGAGAAAATTCCATGGGCTTCTGAAAAAAGGAGTATTATCATGTTGGATGGGATGTTCTACAGATAAATAAATAAATAAATCTGTGATGTCATTTATTTCAGATGTTTCTCTAATTTTTTTGGTCTGGATGATTAATTGGCTGGTGAGAGTAGGGTACTAGAGTCTCCCACTGTTACTGTGCTGGTATAATCTGTTACTTTTGCCTTTTAGTAATACTTATTTTATGAAATTAGGTGTGCCATGTTTTGTGTGTATATGTTTAGAACCAAATGTACTCTTGGTGAATTCATACTGATTAAGGAAAGATTTGGCTTAAAATCAGTTTTGTCAGCTATTAGAACAACTTCTGTCTGTCTTCTAGATTCATTTGCTTGTAGTACATTTTCCCATCCCTTTGTCATAAGATACTGTCTGTCCTATATGGTGAGGTACATTTGTTACAGACAAGAAATGTATAGATCAAGCCCTTTAACATAATCTACTATTCTGTGTCATTTAGTTAGAAAATTGAGACTATAAACATTTAGAACAAAATGTGTGCATTATTTCCTATCATTTTGTTGGTTGTACAATCTTTGATGTTTTCCTGTTCCTCCCTCTTGCTTAAATATTTTTCAATTGTGGTTTATTCTTCCCTGTGACCATATGAATGTATTTAAGTATCTTCTGTAGAGCTGGCTTGGTGGTTGTGAATACTTTAGTCTATTTTCATCAAGGAATTTTTCTTTTTTTCTTCAACTATGACTGATGGTTTTGAAGGGTATAGTAGTCATAGATAGACTGAGTCCTATAGCAAACAGGATCTACTATAATGGAACGTGAACATGTAATGACCTTTGTCACATTCATTAAGAAGTAATAAAGAAGATTGGCTCACACAAATAAATTACACAAAGGTGTGAACAAGAGTGAGTATCATAGAGTCACCTTATGACCTTCTCTACACAAGGGGTCATCCCTGGAGGTGATGGGAAGGACACCTCAGATGACTTGTCTGCCCATACAACTTTGTCAGAATGAACTACAAAAATGAGCTTCCTTTTTGCAGCTGTTGAAAGCTGGTTCCTTCCTTTCTTCTTCTCCTTCTCCACCTCTGATTTTCTTCTTTTACCACAGCACTGCAATCTGGTTATGCCATCCTTTCCTTGAGTCTCTTCCCAGCCTTCTTTCTGTTATGGCTGCCAATAGATTGCTCTTTACTTAAGAAAATGTGCATAAAAGAGGGTAGAGACTATGTTCAAAGAACAGAGAGCAAGCAAAAACACTACAACGTGCTCCTATCCACACCCCTTCTCCACAAAAATATTAACAAAACCTCTACAATGTATAAAACCTCATTGTAGGGATCAAGCCTCTGAGAAACAGAATGACAGTGACAGGAAGAGGAAAAACAAATCTGATTCATTGAAAAGATAGTAGATCCAAAATTACATGATGGGAATAAGACATCCCAAGGTGTCTCTCATGCACGAAAGGAAGCAATTGATATTGCATCCATACAGATGGTTTTACATCCTGAATTCCCACTTACTGTGTTTATCAATTTCTTTTCTGTAGTTGTGATGAAATATCACTACCAAAAGCTACTTAAAGGAGAAAAGCTTCATTGTGGATTACAGTTCCAGGGATCTAGAGTCTTTAATGATGGGGAAGCTATGGCAACAAGCGGCAGGAACAGGAAGCTGACTGATCACATTCTATCCACACATAGGAAGCAGAGAAGTGGAGTCATGCTATAAAAGGTAAAAACCTGCCCCCAGTGACATACTTTTTCCAGCAAGGTTCCACCTCCTCAAAGTTCCATAACCTCCTACAAACACCTCCACAAACGGGAAACAAGTGTTAAGAGGAACCTGCAGTGGACATTTCTCATTCAGACCTCCAAACCGTGTGACCTTGGTGAGGCACTTGACCTCTTGTATTTTGTCTCTCACTTCTGCAAAATGAGTGTGATCACAGAACCACAGGTATCATGGGGGGTAAATTTATCAAAATAATGAACCACTGAAAGTAGTGCTGTAACATCAATTTTAAAAGATCTTGTTAATAAAAAAAAAACCAAAGCCAAATATTGGGGTGAAAGCTGAAAGATCAGAGAAGCAGAACAAGCCAGCCACAAGCTCTTACCTCTAGGAAATTCTCAGTCTCAAGAGAGAGCTACTTCCTGTATACTCACGCCTATATACTTTTCTGTGCCCTGCCATCTTGCTTTCTTTCTCCGCCCAGCTACACCACTTCCTTTC